GAAGTGAACCGAGTAGGGGTGAGTACTTATGGGACTACTGTAGCAGAGCTATCAATTGCGCTCTGCACTATCTGAGATTGTCTCACTAGTTACACCTAGTCCTCTCAAACTGGGCTTTAGTCTTGAATTATAAAGACCCAAACAAATTTTTTTTTTGCTGTTTTTATGGCTTTATTTGTGATTTTCTTGAATTTCCTTCGGTGAAATCTTCCAAAACTTTCACAGTAAATCGCATTAATTTTAGCGGAATACAAATTTTAAACAGGAAAAAAGTAGGGTTTGTAAAGGTAGTTTTTTCGGTTTTTGCAAATTTATGTCTTTTACCGCTGCATAAAAACTGGTCTTATAGTTTTCCCTAAAAAGCGAGCTCCAACTAAAATAAAATATTTACTAACAGTCTGCCAAATTTTACGGAATTTTACCAAACGAAACGCGAGAAAATTCACTGTCAGTTTTGCTTTTTGTGCCCGTGTTGACCTCATAAAATATCGAAAAACACTGACGTTTTCCCTTGAGCATGCGCAGATTACTTGAGCTTTCGTCCTTGGCGCGCGTGTGATCGTTAAACTATAGGGAGCCACCTTAAGATGCTTAAAAATCTTGGCAAGGAATGTTGAGGATCTTTAAACACCTATAGAGATACTAAAGGATCCTTGATGATCCTTAAAAAATTTTCACCAAGGCTGAGCATGGCTTTTGTGCTCTCATGTATGCTCTCACTGTTTCTCATTAATCATTTACACCTCACTGTTTTCCCTCTTAGGGAACAATAACTCCATCATAAGAAGAGAATTTGTTGGAATGTTATTTTGGGGGATTAAGGGAACTGTTTGTAAAGGACAATGATATCCAGGGGACTTTATTCAAAAGATTCTCCTATTGCTGGAGAAAATCACAAAAAGGTTGCTTCACCCCGCCGTTCCCAATCTCCCTATTAGGTTCAGGATGTCATCACCAGGAAAGCTGGTGAAATGGGTGATGGACAAAACATAGCACTCAGATGAGTGGTATGTTAAGAAGCTGCGATTATATACTTACAATGCACAGAGGATGGTTTTCTTTTCGTTCTGCATCACCCTCAGCCGCCATTTTGAATAACTACACTGAACAAAACAACTGCTATACACAAAAAGCGTAGACTCAAATTAAATCATATATTTTATGGACAACTCAACCTTGCTCCCATGTGATTCAGTAGCTCAGTCTTTCTCGAACAGACGAAATGATCTTCAGGATGTTACTCAT